GACGCGACGGAGCCACGACCGTGCGCTATCAGGCCGGCTTGAGGGCTGGTTAGCTGCTCTCACCAGGCTCCCTTGTTCCCCGGACCCTCTGCCTGCCCAGCTGCCCCTCTGAGCAGAGGCTCTGGGAGCCAGAGGGAGACTTGGTGAAGATTAGCCGTGCACCAGCAATGGTGCCAGCCCTCGTCGCCTGTGCTGCCTTCTGAGGGCCCCAGATCCTGCTGCCAGGGCGCTAGAGGAGACTAGGGCTGGTTAGCTGCTCTCACCAGGCTCCCTTGTTCCCCGGACCCTCTGCCTGCCCAGCTGCCCCTCTGAGCAGAGGCTCTGGGAGCCAGAGGGAGACTTGGTGAAGATTAGCCGTGCACCAGCAATGGTGCCAGCCCTCGTCGCCTGTGCTGCCTTCTGAGGGCCCCAGATCCTGCTGCCAGGGCGCTAGAGGAGACTCTCGGCTGCTTAATTTTTAAAAATACCTCTCTCGCCCTCCCGCCTGGAGAAAATCTCCAGCTCTTGGCCCCAGAACAGTTCCGCCCCCAACGAGGAACTCAAATCCCCCGTTACTATTAGTTAATGCCTCAACTGTTTAGCCTGCTGGTGGCTGCCTGGGCCTAGGGAGAAGCGGGGCCAACAGAGGCCAGGACCCAGTAGCCTCCCTTCTGGCTAGACTCAAGCCTGCGGCAGAGACCTGCCTCTGTGCGACGCACGCTCTTGTGTGCTTGTGCAAGCGGGGAAGAGACGTGGAAGGCTACAGCCCTCCGAGTGTGTGACAGGAGGCGCCCTCTAGTGGCCCTACTCAGATTTGCACGGTAAAAGCTTATTTTTTTAAATTTATTTAAGACGCCTCCTGCCCCAAACCCGCTGGGGGGTATCTTAGTAGATAGGGCAAGGGAGGAAACCAGGCCAGGCAAGTTCTAATCCTGGTAGCTACACGGCCCCAGCCCTCCCGGTCTTGTCTGGGTGGCTGAGCAATTGAGACGCTCTCTAAAAACTGCCCTTGCTGCCTCAAGCAGGATCTGACATTAAAAACGCCTACCTCCCCCCACCCCCCCAACAAAGGCTGGGTTTGGCCGTGGCGGGGCTCAGGGGCAGTGACTCCAGCAGCCCCGAGGGGTCACCCCCAGCCAGGGAGGCCGCTTGCTGACCTGAGCTGTCAGGCTGGGAGGTCTAAAGAACAGAGGGTAACTGATCTTTGCGAGACACAGCATGGAGCGACCTGTCCCATGCGTCCCTCCCAGCTCTATGCCCTCCCCAGCAGCAGTCTGCCATAGTCCTGTCCCCATGACGCCTCCCCGCTGGTGCCCTGTGACTTGCATCCCCCACAGCACCCCCAGGGGCAGGCCGGGGTAGAGGCTGCAGCACCTCGGAGAGCCGGGGGAGAGTGACGTTCCAGTGACCTACCAGTGCCTGGCCGCTCTTGCCGCAGGTTGCTAACACGGAGCAGGACGGATGGGGCCTGCACCTGCTAGGAAGCCCTGCGGAGCCTGAGAGTTTCAAAGGCAGGTCAGGGCCTTTCAAAGGCTAACACATGCTGGGGCTTAGGAGTCACACAAGCCTCAGGCCCCGATCCTGCCTCCCGGCCTATGAGGACCAGTGGCTTTGCTGCTCCGAGCCAGGCCTAGCCCCAGCTTGTATACTCGCCGTGGGGCACTGCCGCTCTTGGGCAATGCTCAGTCCACTTGGCCGCACCCCTGCCTTGCCGCGGGCTATGCTGACTCGCCTGAGGGCTCCGATGGGGTCCCCCACCTGTCTCCTCTGCCCTGGGCTTAGCAACCAAGCTGACATCTTGCCTTAAACCCCGCTCTGCATGAGGTCCGTGGGCTCCGTGCTGCGCCCCATGGGATGTTTCCTCCCACTGTCCCCTTAGCTGGATTCCTGCCCTGCCAGGTCCCAAGCTGGATGTGAGCCACACTAGCTCTGCCAGCCTCCCCCAGAAACAGCTGCAAGCTGCCAGGGCATCCCGTGCAGCCGGCAGGCCCCACGTGGCTCCTCTCCAGCGGCGAGTCAGCCCCCAGGTCTGGAAAGGGCAGGGCATGAGGCGTGTGTCTGGGCGTATTGGGCGGGGGGAGGAGACCTGGGGTCTGTCTGTTGAGACCAGGATCTGGGAAGCAGGCCTGGGGCGCTGAGCAGAGCTTGGGAGGAGGAACTCACATGGATCAGCCTTTTCCCCTTCCATGGGTGGTAGCATTTGTTCCCGTTCAGCAGAGGGGCCTCACATCTCCTGGCTGGAGGTTGGCAGGGAGGAAGGGTTGCCCAGGATGGCGCAGGGCCCAGCTGGGGCCAGTTAATTAATTCTCCAGCGCAGGAGCAGGCTCAGCAGGGGCGGATGGGGGAGGACCCTGGAGCGAGCGAGCCGGGCTGGCTAGGCAGGTGGCTGGCTGGAGAAAGCCCAGCAGACCCCCGACCTGGTCTTTAGAGCCTGTGCTGCACTCAGCCTTCAACAGACCCCTCTGACGGCCAGGCCTCTTAAAGGATGATGGTTTCTTTACCCTGCAACTCACCTCCCAGCTCTCGGAACCTTGCTTGGCCAACCCAGCTCTGACCCGCCGGCTGCCTCCAGCTGGAGCCCTGCCCAGAGGGAGGCAGGAAAAGTCGAGTGGTCATTCCAGCCAGTGGGAATAAGCCCCTCCAGCCGGCCGGGCGGGAATCCCTCTCTAGGAGCGGGTGGTCCAAACATTAAGCATCACGCAAGCCCTCTAAGGCCCAGCCGGACCCAGCTCTGGATCTGCCTGGCTCAGGCTGGCCAGCGGCCTCGTCATGGTGCCAAAATGAGGTGTGGGCAGGAGGGGGGTTAGGGACGGGGCGCAGGAGTGGGAGGAGCTGGCGGGGATACATTGGCAGCCTGCAGAGGGGCAGTGGTAGCCCACAGTGGAGCGCTTGTGTGACCCACAGCTGGTAGCTACCAGAGCCAAGACGCCCCAGGCTGTGAGCAGAGGGGTTCACCCCGGGCACCTCGGGTACCAGAGCAACAGGCTCTTGCGGAGAGGGACACATGCCCCGTGATGCTCCCACTGGGCCTGCCCTTCCTGCCACCCCTGGGCTCACAGTAGCCTAATTCCTAAGGACATCGCAGTGCTGGGCTGGGGCGCGTTGGCCTGGGAGACACCCGGCATAGCTGAGCTGGTGATGGCCAAGCAGAGCTGCTAAGGTGAGCTGGTCTCTTACCACTGCTGCCCCACATCTCCAGCGAGCAGGGCCCCAGAGCGGTGTGTCCCCCTGGGCTGTGCTTGGGAGCCAGACCTCCCCCGGGGCAGGCGCCTTGAGTCAGGGCAGGGGTTTTCAAATGACGGGTCGTGACCCAGGACGGGGGCTAGAATGTCAGGCCCTGGGTCTCGTGGCTGCAGGGGGATCAGTGGGGGGCTAAGGCAGCTCCCTGCCTGTCCTGGCCCCACAGACTGCGCTGGGCCCCAGAAATGGCCAGCAGCAATTGTTCCTAGGAGGGGGGAGAGCGCACAGGGCTCCCCACGCTGCCCCTGCCTCAAGCACTAGCTCTGCACGCCCATGGGCTTCTGGGGTACAGCATGGTCTGCGGTGCCAGGAGAGACAGGAAGCTGCCTTAGCTCCCTGCCCCCCCCAGCGAGGCAGAGAGTGTTACATGCCCCCCCCCCCCC